TTAGGCTCTTTGCAAGAATTCATTTTATTTTAAGAATATGCACGGGATAATAAAGACAGAATCAGAAACTCACACAAATCTAAACTCCCTTGAGTGTGTGGCCAGACAATTTCTTTAGGTCTGAGTTAGCTCCGTTGATCACACAGCATAGGATCTTTGATCTTCCCACTAATATTTAATCACTAACTTGATTGATTCGGTGGTCCTTGTAGGATGGCCCACCTTTCCCCATTGCCTGAGGACATGAGACCTTCAGTGCTAAACCTGGACAGTTCCAGGCAAAGTGGGAGAGTTGGTTGCCTTGTCTCTACACATATGCTTCTCCCTTATTTGCTTAATTTTCTACTACCTCATATTCTCATCATCACAGCTCTGAAACTTTGGCATATGTAGGCTCCTTCAGCTTCTTTTCTCCAGCTTTGGACCTTTTCAGTTCAGCTTCTGTCTCTGACTTTTCATACTTCCTAGTTCATTATGTAAGATAAAGAATCTTCATTGGCCCAGCCTGTCTCTTTGAGGAAGATCTAGGTTACTGGCAAGCCTATAGCTTGGGATGCCCACTTAATAATAATTTGATTTGTAGCATCTCCCTATTTTCTTTGTTTTTGTTTAATACTTATTAACATTCACTTTGGTCCTTGTATTAGTTTCCTGTGGCTGCTGTAACAGATCACCTCAAACTTAGTGGCTTGAAATGACAAATTTCTTCTCTTGAAGTTCTGGAGGCTGGAAGTCCAAAATCAAGGTGTCAGCAGGGCCCCTTCCACAGATTCTAGGATAAAATTTGTTCCTTGCCTCTATCAGTTTTTGGTGTCTGCTGGCGTTCCTTTGCTTGTGGCTACATTGTACCAATCCCTGCTTCCGTCTTTACATCACCTTCTCTTCTGTACGCCAAATCTTCTACCTCTCTCTCGTAAGGACAGGGGATAGCATTTAGGGCCCATGTCGATAGTCCAAGATTATCTCCTCATCTCAAGATCCTTAACTTAATAATATCCACAAAGGCCCTTTTTCCTTATAGAGTAACATTTACAGGTTTCAGGGATTAGGACCTGGTGTCTTTGGGTGTCCATTATTCAACCTGTTATAGTCCTCATAGCTGGTCGTTGAAAGGGCCTTCAGGTTGAGGTTTGATGAAGGGTTATGGTAATAACAGAGAAATAGAAAGACTATAATGTATATTCCAGCTGCTGGACCAGTTGAAATACCCTGCTTAAGGGACTAAAATCAATCTGTGACTCTAATAGAGGTTTGGAGTTGATGGGAGATGAACATTATGTATCCTTATTTCCTATCTGTTATGACGGGTATTTTGAATCCTTGGTCACATTGTGCAGGGCAATAACATTTACCATACTTGGTAATGAGTAAAAGCCGGCATATGTGTGTCTCTTGTATTTTTCATAACCTCAACTGCACATGTATCTCTTTTTGCAATATGATTATCTCTATCTTGACCCCTTTAGCCACTCTGCTAACCAAATTTAGAGGTCCTCATCTTAGCAGAATAAAGAGTAATGCTTCAAGCTGATTTCTCTGGCTGGAGGTGTAGACCTTTAAAAGCAAGGACAAAACAGAGGTGATATACTGTAAGGAAACTGTGCTGGCCGTGAGAGTGCTTTTATCCCTAGTGCACTATTAGTAAAAATCAAGGTGTTTGTTATTTGTATCTGTAAATCGTGGTCATGATTTGCCTCCAAGGGAGAATTGATATCATTAAACTTTTGCTGGATGGGTTAGAACTGGTCTTGGTTTTGCCATAATTTTACTGAGTATCATAGGAATATACTTTTCTTCCACGTGATGTAGGGCTTAGCCTAAAAAATGGTATTTTGTTCATTTCTGTATTTTCTTTAAGGGAACATTCTGTGCAGATTTGTGAAAAATAAAATATTCTATGCTTCTCTGAAAAAGAAATCAAAATAGGTGCTTAATGAAATTAGTAGGTAGATAAAAGGAATGAACACAAAGTCAGTGTATTTAATATTAATACTTATTATCAGCTGTTACTTAGAGTACTTGAAACGAATGGGTTGAGATGTTTGAGTTTGTGTTCTGAGTTAACTTAGACAGGCTTGCTGGAAGTAGGGAGATTTGAGAAAAAACAATAGCTACAGTCTTCAAATGTTAGGGGTGAAGAAGGGATTCCTGTAAATAGGAAAAAAGAATTTTAGAGGGATTGGGAATAGAGTCTTCTAGCAAGGAGTGGTAACAGTGATTAGGCATGCAAGGACTAGTTGAAGAAATAACTCCTTATTGAGAAGATGAATGGAACTGCTCAATCATTTCTAGGTTTATTAATTTAAACTTTCAGGTTCTGATATTTTTGTGTACATTCTTAACACAAAGCATATGTTGTTAAAAAAATTTCAATAACAGCACTTAAATCAAGTTATGAAATACAGTATCTTAGAATAATGAAAATCATGTAAAAATACTATCAGCAGACCAAAGTCTCCTTTGCAGGTAAGCCTCTTGTCTTAGGTCTGGCATTTTTTAATAATAGGGGCCTGTTTTCCTGTTGGAACACTTAGTGAATTTGGTATTAAAACTTTAGCCTGTTTTTGTTTGCTCTTTTTCCCTTTTCCTGGCAGCTTAGTCAAACCATGAAACAGGCCCGTCACCGGCTGGCATCCTTTAAGACTGTGAATAAAAAAAATGAGTCACTGTTTCCAGATGGTAGAAGGAAAACCTTTCCCCCTCAAGAGGTAAATTTATTTCTAATAAATTGTTTTAAAAAGTACAGATAAAGATTTATTTACATCTCAACATTATTTAGAACTGTAAAAATAATTGGAAATAACCTGAAATATCCAGTAGTAGGGAATGGTTAAAAAATTATGGTGTATCATATATACCTATTCTAAAAATTATCATGCTTTCAGAGAATATATGAAGACAAAGGAAAGTGTGATGCAAAGTTGAGTGAAAAAAGTAGGATACAAGATTATATACAATATATTCTCAATTAAAAAAACTTTATTCAGCCAACATTTATGGAATGTTTATAGTTGCCAGGCATTGTTCTACAAGCAGGACTTAGAGTAGAGAAAATATAGACAAAGATCCCTCAAGGAGCTTCTGTGCTAGTAGGGAAGCAAATAATCAACAAGCAAATAAATGTAGACTATAACTTCAAACGATAAGTGCTACAAAAAAAATAAAGCAAAATAGAGAGATTGGGAGGGAATGCTGTGTGCAGAGACAAAAGCCTGGGAAGAAATGGGCCAAGACTTTAATACCGATTATTTCTGGTTAGCGTTATTACAGGTGATGTTTCTTTTTTTCTCTCAGTTTTCTCTATTTAAAAAATTTCCCATAATGCACATATTTTACTTTCTAATCAGGAAAAAGACCAGTACTGTTAAAAGAAATAAGATATTGTAATTCAAAATACAAGGTTAGGGTGAATAATTGGAACCTAAATGTGACTTAAAAGGATATTTAAGGCAATACTTGTAAAATGACATTGTTCCGTGCCTACTTATTTCAGTGTTCACAAATTTGGATGCTAAAAGCAAACTCATGTATTTTCCTGTGTTTACTCATTTTGGCGTTAATTTCAAGTTTTGATAGGCAGCATCTGGTAAAATGGACCATTTGATCTCTTTTGCTCTTTTTTTTTTTTTGGCCATCATCACCTCTGTCCCTTACTTAGTTCTTTCTTAGTTTTGCTTCCTAGATTATATATATATTTTTTATATTTTTTTCCTTAAGTATCTCAGCACAACTATCAAAAACGTTTGTCTCTTATATGTTTACAGTTTGTAGAATACTAACCTATAATGTCTCTCTCTTCAGTGGTAACTAAGACATTTATAGTTAAATATAAGAAACAAGCGGGCATGGGTGTGTGTGTCACATACGGCATGTCGTTCCAGATGCATTCAGTGTGGTTACCTTTTCTAGCATTGTCTTGTTATGACTCTCAAGATAGAGTTTCTTTTGTACCTAAATTCTTCTCAGTGGCTTGTTTTTTTGACTGTTTTCGTACCTAATGGATTTGGCAACTCCAGTTTGTGACATTAGACTGACTCCAGAGTACTGTTAGAAGGAAGTGGTTGGACACATTCTAGTAAACCAGAAAAAAAAGAGTTGTCAGATCCTAGAGACTCAGATTTTATATTGTGTGAAACATGTTCAAAGCTTTCAGTTGATGTTTTTCCAGAAAAAGTACTGTTTACAGGTCTGACTGAAATCATCATTCAGTAGAAGGGAGAAGAATTAAGTCTGAGATAACATCCTGTATAAACCAGTTTTATACGTCAGAGATGCCATTTAAATGATGATGATGATGATGATGATGATGAATTCAGACTGACTGCTACTTCCAAAGAATGCATGTGTATTTTTCAGCTAAAACATTGGAAACATCTATTCTATAGAAATGAGATTGATAAAAGAAATTAGGGTAATTTTTTGTATTTCTTATATCAAGTATGTGGTCTTTCCCTCAATTCTGAATAGTTTTCTATCCCCTCAGTTGTGTGAAATGGAAATCTGCCAGTCAGAAAGGACACAATCTATAACCCAGTTGAACTCTGGTTTCATTTCCTTGTTAAGACTTATTTTTACTGACCTTAGAATCTGTCTGGTTCTTATTGTTATTCCAGATATAGAGATACAAATAGAAGATATACTTGCTTGCACATTGTCAGGTCACCAAGATAAAATCATAAGCCTCCTAAAATTGATCCTGGCTGGGATAGGGACAAATTGTCATTTATAAAGTTAATATATTCTCCTAGCAGCCTATTTCACTCCATGTTTGATGTGTGAGTGATTTGTTTGTAAATCTGAAGTAGAACTCACCACTTGTTTTTCTTTATTTATATTAAACCACCCTCATCTGTTAAAATCATTCCAGATCTTTCACAAAATCTCAACTTAGTATCATGAGCATATTGCTTTCTCTAGACCATCTATATTTGTATTAATTTTTTTTTCCAGAAAGCACTTTAGGAAGTCATCATCCCTCAAAATAAATACAGGAACAAGAAGACAGTTGACCTTTAAGGTCTGTCAAGGTCTTTGGTCTTTTAACTACTTCGCATTACCAGAAATTTATAGAAAACCAGGGAGGGAAATGTAAAGAATAAAGGGAAAAAATAAGGGCTTGTTAGAGCTGTCCACAGCTAATTACATTTGGGTTTGAGGGTTAAGATTCTACTGTCCAGTATTGTTTTGTTCCTAACAGTTCTATTGAGATATAATTTATATACCACAGAGTTTACTCATTTAAAGTATACATTTCAGTGGTTTTTAGTATACTCACAGGTTTGTACAACTGTCAACATAATCTAATTTAGAACACTTTCTTCACCCCTAAAAGAAACCCTATTCCCATTAGCTGTCATTTCCCATTCACTCCTTTCTCTACCCCCAGCTCTAAGCAACCACTAAACTACTTGCTGTCTCTATGGATTTGCTTATTCTGGACATTTCATCTAAATAGAATCCTATACTATGTGGTCTTTTGTGACTGGCTTCTTTCACTTTGCATATTTTCATTATGTTGTAGAATGTATCAGTACTTCATTCCTTTTTTATTGCGGAATAATATTCCTTTTATGGCTTTATCACATTTGGTATATCCATTCATCAGTTGATGGACTTCGTGGCTTTTGTGAATAACTGTTACAAAGACTTATGTACATGTTGTTGTGTGGACATTCATTTCTTTAGAATTTTGGGGTCATAGTCTAACTCTGTATTTAATAGTTTGAGGAGCTGCCATGCTGTTTTCCATCAGCAATATATGTGGGTTCCAATTTCCTCACATCCTCACCAATACTTATTATTGTCCATCTTTTTGATTATAACCATCCTACTGATGTGAAATGATATCTCACTATACTTTTGATTTGTGTTTTCCTGATGACTTAGGATCTTGAGTATCTTTTCACATGCCTATTGCCCATTTATGTCTCTTGTGGAGAAAATGTCTATTCAAATGTGGTGTCCATTTTTTAATTGGGGTATTGGTGTTTTTATTATTGAGTTATAAGTGTTCTTTATATATTCTGGATACATGTCCCTTATCAGATACATGATTTGCAGATATTTTCTCCCATTCTGTAGGTTGTCATTTCACTTTCTTAATGCTATCATTTGTACAAAATTTTTAATTTTGGTGTAGTTTATCTTTCTTGTAGTTTAATTTATTTTTCTTGTGTTGCTTGTGTTTTTGATGTAGTATCTAATAAACCATTGCTTAATCTAAAGTCATCAATATTTTCTGCTATGTGTCCTAAAAATTTTATAATTTTAGTTCTTACATTTAGGTCTATAATCTATTTTGAGTGAATTTTTATATGTGGTGAGGAAGTGTTTTAACTTAGTTCTTTTGCATGTGGATATCCACTTGTCCCAGTACCATTTGTTGAAAAACTATCCTTTTTCCATTGAATTTTCTTGGCCCCCTTGTTGAAAACCAGTTGACTGAGGGTTTATCAATGTCTTAATATTACCTTCTGAGATCCGTGAACATGGGATGTCTTTCGATTTATTTAGATCTTTTTAAATTTCTTTTCAACAGTGTTTTATAATTTTCCTTATATAGTCTTATGCTTCTTTTGTAATGTCCTGTTTTTATAATATTTGATTATATTGACCTACCAAATTATATTAATAGTGTGCTGAATCCCAGGATTTTATTGTAATCACATAGTTTATACCTGTAATAGGTACTTTTTTTTCATTGTTGATTGTGTTGTTTTGTAGGAACCTGACTCTGAGGAATCTTCATCTGTTATGATAGATAAGAAAGGGACAGAAAATTTGTTTTGGGGAGACCAGCAGGATCTCCTTTCTGAAGACAGGGACAAACCTTTCAGCAGAGTTCAGGTAAAGCAGAGTGAAAGGAGATAGTACAATAAAAATTAAACTAAGTGTGATTTGGACTAGCAGTACCATATTGTACTAGTTTGGGATTATAGATTTAGGTTCTGTTAAGTTGAGCAAATATTATAATTTCCCATTTTATTCTAGTAATTTGTTTGACTACCATATCTTTTTTATCTTTTTTAAGATTTTATTTATTTGAAAGGCAGCAAGAGAGAGAGTGTGAGTGAGCACAAGCAGGGGGAGTGGCAGGCAGAGGGAGAGGGAGACATAAGCTCACCACTTAGCAGGGAGCCTGACACAGGGCTCGATCCCAGGACCCTGGGATCACGACCTGAGCTGAAGGCAGACACTTAATCCGCTGAGCCACCCAGGCGCCCCTGACTACCATATCTTTTTGAAATTATTTTAGGAATCTCGTGGAAAATCTAGAGTGTTGCTACTACCTGGCATTCTATATTTGATGTTTATGTTCACTTTTAGAAAGTACAGTTCAAAAATCCACTATTTGCTGTGATGAAAGAGGAAGAGCAAAAGCAATTAGATCTTCAAGGCCTTCAGAATATTTTTCCAGAAGCCCAGGATTATCTTCCAGAAGCCCAAGGTGATCTGCTGGAAACCCAGGGTGATTTGACAGGAATCCAGAGTGTTGAGCTAGAAGCTGAGAGTATTGAGCCAGAAGCCAAGAGTGTTGAGCCAAGACTCAGTACTCTGGCTATTGAGCTGGAAAGCCAAGCTGTTGAGCCTGAAGCCCAGGCCATTGAGCCTAAAGCCCAGGCTGTTAAGATAAAAACTCAGGATATTATGCCAGAAGCCCAGAATATTGAACTAGATGATGGGAGTATTGTATCTAAAGTCCAGGATTTGCTACCCAAAGAACAGTGTGTTCTTCCCAAAGACCAGAATATTCTACCCAGATGTCAGGACCAGGACTTTCTACTTAAAGACCAGGATTTTCTACCCAAAGACCAGGATATTCTACCTGAATGTCAGGACCAGCATTTTCCATCCAGAGACCAGCATGTTCTCGCTGAAGACCAGAACATTCAATCCACATTTCAGGACCAAGATTTTCTACCCAAAGACCAGCATCAGCATTTTCTACCCAGAGATCAGGTAAAATAGAGTAGAAAGGAGATATAACAAGAAGAAATAACTACTTAAATTTTGGAGTGGGATTTGCAAGGACTAAATTGCAGCTGATTTGGAAAGTCATAGTTGGAAAAAATAGTTTCCTCATTAATTCCTCAAAAGTCTGGGGTTCTCATTAAATGTTAAAGTATTATCAGCAGCACATTACCCCTAACTGGACAATTTACTTTTTTTTTTTTAATCTTTATTAGGAAAAATATTTCTGGCAGCCATTATCTGCTTTGACAGCTGAAAGATGGAACAAGGAGTGGCCCACAAGTGTGCAACAGTATCTTTTACTACTCAGGTTCCAAGGCCAGCCCTCCACCAGAGATCAGTTAGGCCAAAAATAAGAAGAAAGGGATCAACAGGAAGTAAATTACATAGGGTTGTAAGTGGGCTTATGTGGAATAGAACATAGTGTTTTCTTCTATTTCATATGCTCAGTTATACTCTGACCTCAGTTAATGCCAGAATTCTCACCACAGCCTAAAGTATTGGTTAACTGATCTTTCTTAACTGAACAATTGGTATTTTGTGTTTGTTCTTTCTTTAGGAAGCAAATTTGAAGCAGCCAGCATCAATTTTGATAGGCCCAAGAGGGGGAGAGGCGTTTCCTCTGGTTGTCCGTCAGGATCTTCTACCCAGGCATCAGGATCAGACTTCCACCAGGGACAAGGTAGAACAGAAAAAGGAGAGAGTCCAGCAGGAACTGAATGGTTCAGGGTTTAGTTTGGAACTTGCAAAGCTTGTTCTCAAGAAGCTAGACTTCGGTAATGACAGAAAGTATGGCTTTCTGTTTTATTCCATATTTCACATTATCTCAAGTTAAAAAAATTACTGTAAGGCTCTCAATAAAGCCTATAGTATTATTACTATCATATTACTCCTCCTGGACATTTTACAATTAGTGTTTTTGTTTTCTTTTAGAAAGTACGCTTCAAGGAGTCACATTCTGATATGTCAAGTGAGAAAGGGAGAGAAGACTGTTCTCTGGCAGGTTATCAGTATCTGCCTCCTAAACTCCAGAACCAGACCTTCATCAGAGATCAGGTAGAGCAAAATAAAAAGGAGATAAACAGAAGATAAAGTAACTGGATTTTATATATTCTCAATAATCGGTAACATGAAGTACAGAAACAGGTGCAAAAGACCCTGGTCTGATTAACTCTATCAACCAACCCAGTTCTGTCATTTAGAAGGTTGATAAATCCCATTCATATTCTTACTGTAGAATCAAACTATTTTAGTTTACTAAGATTATGCTACAACTTCTGCTGAAGCCCACAGTATTACCACCAACACACTGTCCCTACATGAACAGTGTAGGAAGTTGTGGCAGATCCTAAATTACTTAACATATGTGGAGTTTGTCAGACTACTCTGTACATGGTTTAGGATTAAAAATCCAGGTTTACAGAGTTGAGCTAAAAGTGTTACATCCTTAAAAAATAAATAGCATAAAATAAAAGTATTATATCCTTGTTCAAGTGAAAATGTATCAGAATATCCTCACCTGGTACCATTTCCCTGGAGTTCTCACTAAAACCTACAATATTATGATTAGCATGTTGCCCTGGTCAGGCAGTTTGCTTTTTATTTTTATTCCTTTAGAACATGTTTCTCAAGCAACTGCCATCTTTTATGAGAGCAGAGAGAATGAGCAATGAATTGCCTCTGGAGTATAATCAGTATGTTGAACCTAAAACCCAGGACCGAGCTTCCCCTAGAGAACAGGTAGAGCAGAATACAGGGGGAAGACTCTCCTTCCTAAAAGAGTAACAGATGAAATTACTTAAGATTTGGGTTGGAGCTTATCAAGTTAGTCCACATGTAAGCTACATAGAATTAAAGCTTCTAGAGTAAGGGGCGCCTGGGTGGCTCAGTCGTTAAGCATCTGCCTTCAGCTCAGGTTGTGGTCCTGGGATCGAGCCCTGCATCCGGCTTCCTGCTCAGCGGGAAGCCTGCTTCTCCCTCTCCCACTCCCCCTGCTTGTGTTCTCTCTCTCTGTCAAATAAATAAATAAAAAATCTTAAAAAAAAAAGCTTTTAGAGTGAGGCTAAGAGCATAACATTTTCAGCTATTTCAAAATGTGCTAGACCTAAAGTCTGTCCAGGTGAGAAAGCATATCTGTCATTTGGGTTGACGAAGAGACAGGGTTCATATAATATTGATTGATTAACAGTAGACATTTGCATAAACTCACATCCTGGAGTATATTTGACTTTCTGCATTTCGTTTTATAAATACTGAAGGGCTTCTCCTCTTGGCCAACTGAAGCAGTACACCAAAACCAGACATTCTGCTCTACCAGTTTGCAAACCAGTTATGAGGAAGGATAAAACAAGCTGTTTGCCACCTGAACTTTACCACTGCTAGTTTTTGTGTATGGAGTTATTGGGGACATCTAGTAGGAGTGCTTGTGGAATGACACAAGCTTGTTTCCTAGCTATACCTTGGGAAAATGCTAGCAACATTATAAAAATATTACTTTGTTGCCTTACTTCTTCCAAACATATTATTGAATAGTTATGCAAAAAAAGAAAGAAAAAAAAGTACCAGAATAATCTGGGATTTGCTTTAAAATAGTCCAGGAAAAAAGTGGGAAAAGAGACAGATGGAAAAAAATGTTATTAATTATTGAAGTTGGGGGTTGGGTATCTTGGGATTCATTATACTATTTTTCTTCCTACTTTGATTTATATATGGGAATTTTGTATTAACACATGCAGGCACACATGCACACCAACTCTGTTATGTTATCCTCCCCTAGTATCATCATTTTGGAGTTGTCACTGATGTTATTAGTTGTCACTAATCATTTCTGCTTAAATAGTTTTGTATTTTGTTGTTCCTTTAGAGCAAGTATATCAAGCAACCCTCATCTTGTGAGAAATGGGAGATTGAAAGAAGAATTGCTTCTGAAGTGCCATCGGTATGTTTCACCCAGTGTTTAAGATCTCGCCTCTCGGGGCGCCTGGGTGGCTCAGTTCTTAAGCATCTGCCTTCGGCTCAGGTCATGATCCCAGGGTCCTGGGATCGAGCCCCACATTGGGCTCCCTGCTCGGCGGGAGGCCTGCTTCTCCCTCTCCCACTCCCCCTGCTTGTGTTCCCTCTCTCTCTGTCAAATAAATAAATAAATCTTAAAAAAAAAAAGATCTCGCCTCTCTGGGGAATAAGTAGAGCAGAGCATAGTGAGGAATAAGTAGCAGAGAATAAATTGCTTAGATTTTGGCTCAAGTTTAAGAGGGAAATATTGGGGATTTAGTGTTAAGGTCAGTAAATAGTGAGCAAAGCTATCCTGTCCTCTAGTTCTGTGATGTATCATACCATTCTGACCTGTTGAAACTACTTCAGGCCTCTTCACTGAGGCTTTTACCATTGCCCTGGCATGATGCTTCTGCTTCGACAATTGATGTTCAATGTTTCGTTGTCTTTTAGCACAGGAACTATGGGCAGGCCATACGTAACATGACAGATAAGAGATGGAGAAAGGAGTTATTTCCGGAGCACCACAAATATGATTTACATGATATCGAGGATCCAGGTTCAGCTGGAGAGCAGGTAGAGCAGAGTGCAGTCAAAAGTAAACGGAAAGTAAATCAGTTAGAGTTTGATCTGGGCTTGCCAGAGCTATGCTTCTCACAACAGTGCTTCTGCTGCTTCTGGTAGTGTTCTCTCTTATTAATACTATTAATAATATGAGTGACAGCTTACATTTGTTAAGCACTTTCCATAACCAAAATAGTTCTAGAACTTTGTATCCATGTGTCATTTCTCATTCTCACAATAATCTGGGGAGATAGATACTGTGATTATCCTTGTTTTATAGATGAAGAAACTTAGGACTGCTTTGTGGATACAGTTAAGATCCATAATAGTGGCAAGGAGTGTAATGTCTACTTTTATCCCATAACGTATGCGACTAATCTAACAGACCTGTATAGAGTATGTCAGGGCTATCGCTGCAGCATTACTAGCAGTATGTCACTGCTCACGTATTTTGGTGACTGCTTTTGTATTCTTTTAGAGCTTATACTTCAGGCAGCAGCCGTCTGTTGGGACAGCTGAGAGATGGCAAGAGGATTTGCTTCTGGACGACCAGCAGCATCTGCCAGCCAAGCACCAGACAGAGGCTTCCAGCAGAAGACAGGTAGAGTATGAGTAATGGAATTTAGGTAGGATCACAGGCACCTACAGAGCTGGGAGTGGTAAGGCTGAGCAACAAACAGACTCTTGTTTTAGTTCATAGTGTGTAAAACTTATCCTGACCTAAGATTACTTTAGTGCTCTCCCGAAACCTAGGGTATTGGAAAAACTGTATTTTATATGTGTATTCTTTATAAGAGATGTATTTCTAATGGCCATTGTCTTTTATGGCATGAGAGGGGAAGAAATGAGTGGTTTCTGAGGGAGAGGGGTCAGGAGGATCTTCCCCCCAATGGCCAGGCCTAGATCTCCATCGATAAGCTAGTAGAGCATAAGACAGGATCACCAAGAAATAAGCTGTTCAGGGTGTAGGCTGGAGCTTATTAGGGTTATATTGCCTAAGCTTCAATGTACTGAGTTAAGATCCATAGTTTTTCAAGAAAACATTACAGTAATCTGGCCTCCTAAGATTCCTCCATGGCTTAACTGAAGTCTAGTTTATTCCCACTAGAATTGATCACTGTCTAGATAATTTCTATCTTGTGATTTTATGTTATTTTAATGACAGAGCCTTCAGGCAACCAGTGTTGTTAGGATATATAAAAGAGATAAAGAGACATTTCCTCTTGACCCTTTTAAGAGAGCAGCAGGAGAAAAGGAGCATAAAGACAGAAAGTAGGATTTGGGCTGAGGTTTTCAGGACTACACTGTAGCTCTTTTATAATTTTTAGTTTGTCTCTGTGAGGTTGGCCTAAAGGTACACTGTCGTGTTTTATTCTACATCGTCACTTACATATCCCGAAGTATGCCAGGCTCTTTCCTACCTCAGGTCTGTTGCATATGTTTTTTCCTTTGCCTGGATATCCTTCTTTTTTTTCTTCACAAAGCTGGTCCCTTCTTGTCCTTTAGGTTTCAGCTTCAACGTTCTCTCCTTGGAAAAGACTGTCCTGACCACCTTATTAAAAATAGGTCTCCTCGCTTCTGTTTTTCTCTCTCCTTGCGTTCTCTTTCCTTCTCACTACACAAAACAATTTGTAATAATGTATTGATTTAGCATGTTTTCCACTGGTCTGTAAGCTTTATGAGGAGAGGTACCACACCTGATGTGTTTACCAGTGTATGGACAGCCTTTATAGTACAGTGCCTGGTACCAGATAGTCTCTTGCTAAATATGTTTTGAATTAAGCAATTAAACATTTATTGAACACCTTATTAGGTGTTATCCATTGTTTAGGCGCTAAATATCAAAGATACAATTGTGAATCAGACACAGAACTCAAATTTCAGACAATCTAAAGAAGAGAGACTGACACATAAGCAGATAATTCTGAAGCAACATAATTAATGGTAGAGGGTGCATAGGTCATTAACTGAGCACAGAAGAGGCATACCTAACTCTATGTGCTTGAGGGTGCTGCCTTGGTGGTCAGAAGCTCTTCTTGTCCTTCTGCCATACAAGCCTCGATCCCCTGGATCCGTCCTTTCTCCTTTTAGGCTCCTGAAATAATCCTGCCTTATTGGAAAAAACACTTTAATAGTGTAGATTTAGATCACAGTCATACTTTGGGCTTATGGTCACAGCTGCTGTGTTCCCCATGCTGCTTAGCATTTTTCTTGCTTGCCCTTTGTCAGCTCTCTCTCCTATGGCCCACACTAATAATAGTAAATCTTAAATACTTTGTAAAGCTCTTGCTACATCCACATACTCTCAGACTTTGATGAAGAAAATAGAAGCCATCGTGCACTACCTCCCTCAGCCATTTGTTGTTTTTTTTTTGGCATTCTTACCTGTTCCTACTATGTCAGAAGAAGAGTTATCTGTTTTTGGACCATATTCTGGATTCTCTTGCCATCCTTTCTTCAGGGTCCAATTTTGAATATTATATTGTGAGACTCTGGCTTCTGTTGAAATCCTCTGAAGAATGTTGCATCTTTTGTTTATTTGTTCTAGCAGGCAATCAACCTGGTTACGTTTATATTATAAGTTCTTTCTCACCTTCTGTGAAGAGTGGCTCCAACGTTAGTTCAATTTTCAAAGCCTTCATTATACTCCTTTAGGTCCATCCCATGCATACATAACTCAGGGGCGATTTTAGGATATACGCCAATTCGTACACAGATTTGAGGAATCCACTTTTCTAGCTCATTCCTCCTCAGGATACCCAATCCCTACATTCTCCAGATACCACAGACCACATTTCCTGGAATCTTTAGTTAGAATCAGTGAGACAGACAGGTCCATAGTGAGCTTACCCCTTGCCCAGTGCTGAAAGCCTGGTTTTTCTTTTTTGAAAGCAGAAAATGTTTCATTTTTATTGTAGCAAAAGTAAACACAAAGAAAAAATAACCCAAAATTCCAGAAATAACTACCATCAGTTTCTGCTATGTATCATTTTCAAATTTTATCTATAACAAATAAATAATTTTAAAAATAATGAGGTATACAGTCAATTCTTGTTATTCACGGTAGTTATATAAAGTTGCCACAAACATTGAATTGGTGAATACTAAACCACTATTCTTAGGGGAGATACAGAGTTAGGTTTTTGTGAGCCTCTGATCACAACGTTTTGGTCACTCATCAATACCTGACTGTATTTTATGTGAGTTTCTGTTTAAAGATATCTTATTTAATATATAATGTTGATTTATTAACATGGACTCAGAGCCAGTAACACTATAGCTTATTCCTGAATGAGCTTATCTCATACATGTATTTTCTCCATAAGGCACATCACAGCCTTCTTTTTTTTTTTTGTTAAAGATTTTATTTATTTATTTGACAGAGAGAGAGAGACAGTGAGAGAGGGAACACAAGCAGGGGGAGTGGGAAAGGGAGAAGCAGGCTTCCTGCTGAGCAAGGAGCCAGATGTGGGACTCGATCCCAGGATCCCGGGATCAGGACCTGAGCCGAAGGCAAACGCTTAACCATCTGAGCCACCCAGGCGCCCCTCATCACAGCCTTCTTATGCTTAGGAATGCTAGATAGTACTTCAACACTGTGCTTGGGAGCCATTTTATTTTATTTTATTCTGTTTTTTATTTTTATCTCTTTAAAAAAATTATGTATTTTAGAGAGAGAGAGCAAGAGAGTGAACCAGGAGAAGGGCAGAGGGAGAGAGAGAGAAATCCTCAAGCAGACTCCCCACTGAGCTCAGAGCCCAACGCGATCTGGGGCTGGATACCAGGACCCTGAGATCATGACCTGGGCTGAAATCAAGAGTTAGACGCTCAACTGACTGAGCCACCCAGGTGCTCCGGGAGCCATTTTAAATAGTGAAATCAGAAACAAAAAGCACAAAAATGCAAAAACCTTGGTACTAAATAGACCTTGAAAAGAATACTTGTTTACAGTTTGAAGGCTGAAACAAAAAGAGCAGAGCATCACCTTGTTCAACCTTAGCTAGCAACATGCATATCTAGTGACTCAAATTTGTCACATGTTTGCAAATGACCATAAAAGCATCACAAGTGTTAATTTTGGGATTACAAATAAATTTTAGTGAATAGGCAAATTCACAAATAAGGAGTATGGAATATTGAGGATTCACTGTAATTTATATACCATATAATTTACCTATTTAAAGTGTACAATGCAGTGTTTTTAGTATATTCAAAGGGTTGTATAAAGTTTGCCACAATGAATTTTAGAACATTTCATCATACCCCAAAAGTCCTTACCCATTAGCTGCCAATTCCTTTTTCTTCCACCCCCCAACCCTAGGCAACCATTAACCAATTTCTCTGTCTATAGATTTGCCTATTCTGTACATTTCATATAAATGGGATCATGGAATATATGGCCTTTTGTGACTGGCTTTTTTCATTTAGCATAATGTTTTCAAAGTTCATTGACCTTGTAGCATATAGCAGTACTTTATTCCTCTCATTAGATAACATTCCATTTTATGCATATAGCACATTTTATTTATTCATTCATCAATTGATGGACGTTTGGATTGTTTCTGCTTCTTGGCTATTATTAATAATGTTGCTGTGAGTATTTGCATACAAGTTTTTCTGTGGATCTGTGTTTTCATTTCTCTCGAGTATACCAAGGAGTGGAATTGCTGGGAATATGGGGACTTTATGCTTAACCTTTTGAAGAACTGCCAAACTGTTTTCCAAAGTGGCTGCACTGTTTTTCATTCCTTCCAACAGTGTATGAGGGTTCAAATTTCTTCACATCCTCACCAGCACTTAATGTTTTTTTAATTATAGCTATATGAATGGGTGTGAAGTTTTGAAGAAGTCTTAGTTGCTTTTTCTTTTGTGGATTGTGCTTTTGATGTCATATCTAGGAAACCACCTAATGCAGGATCATGAAGATTTAGTCTTATGTGTTCCTTGAAGAATTTTATATCTTTTGCATTTAGGTCTGTGATCCATTTTGAGTTAATTTCCATATGTGGTAGAAGGTGGGAATTGAACTTCATTCTTTTGCATGTGGATATCCAGTTGTCCCAACATCATTTGTTGAAATGCTTACCCGTTGAACACTCTTGCCAAAAATCAGTTGATTGTAAATATAACGGTTTATTTCTGAACTGTCAGTTCTGTTCCATTGATCTATAAATCTGTTCTTTTTTTTTTTAAAGTCTGTTCTTATGCCAGTACCACACTATCTTGAATATTTTTTTTAAGATTTTATTTATTTATTTGAGAGAGAGAATGAGAGAGAGAGGGTCAGAGGGGGAAGCAGACTCCCCGCCAAGCAGGGAGCCCGATGCGGGACTCGATCCCGGGACTCCAGGATCATGACCTGAGCCGAAGGCAGTCGCTTAACCAACTGAGCCACCCAGGCGCCCTGTAGCTTTGTAGTAAGTTTTAGAATTGGGAAGAGTGATTCCTCCAACTATATTCTTCTGTTTCAAAACCATCTTAGCTATTCTGGGTCCCTTGCATTTGGATTTAAGGATCACCCTGTCAACTTCTACAAGAAGTCATCTGAAATTTTGATGGAGATTGCATTAAATCTGTTGATCAATCTGGGGAGTACTGCCATCTTATCTGTCCTTTCATGTCTTTTCATTCATCTAGACCTTCTTTAATTTCTTCCAACAATGTTTTGTAGGTTTTAGAGTATAAAATTTACACCAACTTTGTTAATTTTAAGTAATTTTTTTAAGATTTCATTTATTTATTTGAGAGAGAGAGAATGAGAGATAGAAAGCACGAGAGGGAAGAGGGTCAGAGGGAGAAGCAGACTCCCCGCTGAGCAGGGAGCCCGACGCGGGACTCGATCCCGGGACTCCAGGATCATGACCTGAACCGAAGGCAGTCGCTTAACCAACTGAGCCACCCAGGCGCCCAATTTTAAGTAATTTTTTGATGGTATTTTTAATGGATTTTTCCATTAATTTCATTTTCAGATTGTTCATTACAAGTATAAAGAAATACAATTGATTTTTGTATACTGATCTTATATCCTGCAACTTTGCTAAAAGATACATAACTTTTAAGCTAAAAAAAGTAATACTAAGCTTTCATTCTAAAAGTTAGAGATCATAATTTGACCCATAACAAAGTAGGTATACTTTGTTATCCAAAGTATATCCAAATCCCAAAATGTCATAAGGCTTTTCTAGTAATGTGGGGGAAAATTAGCTCCAGTTTCCTCCCTTCCATGTCAGTTGATGTTATAATATTTTCAGGTTCTTATTTGGGCTCACACCCACCAAAAGAGTTGTATACATTGAAAATGATTACAGATTTGAGATAATAAGGCATCTGGCTTTATATCCTGGATTCAGTCCTAAACATACTCAGTGATTTCAAGTGACCACTTTAGAAGAACTTTCATTCTGAACATTTTGATTTGTTATTAATTCACCCATGTTTTTGACCTGAGTCATTTCCTTTGCTTTATTATTTTTTATTTGGTTTATTTCTTCTGAATCTGCTTCTTTCATTCTTTTTTAATTTATTTTAATTTATTGATTTTTTAATTGTTTGTTTTTATCCAGTTGAGGTTAAGGTTGCAGGAGAAAAGAAACAATAGATGAAAATATCAAAAGCACATACAGGGCTAGCTTTTGGCAATTTTGTCACTTTGTGTGACTGGACTTCTAACAGGTTTATGATGACTATCAATCAAAATTGAACACTGAATTCCAAATTCCACTGACACTCCAATCTGGAGTAGATCATGAAGAAGACAAGAAAGAGGTACGTCATGATAATTGCTTTTGGACACCAGTATTTCTACTATAATAGTATATGTGAAATTGGGAATGATTTACTGTGTTCTTACACATTAAGAGCCAGCACTACAAATTCCATGGATAAAGGCAAAGAAGTTACTTGAGTCATTATAATGTGTTGAACTTTTCTTTCAAGCTTCTAGGATTTAGGATACCTTGATGTGAAATCAGAGATCTGATCCTAGTGAATTTTTCCCATTAGTGTGTATTTGTCACAATAACTTAAAGGAAGGGTTTTTAACTTATGACTTACTTTTTTTTTTCCTTCTTAATCTAAAGTTGGTTTAAACCAGCAGTTTTTTAACACTGCCCATGTGCCAGAATCAGATGTGAGCTTTTTTCAAAATACAAATGCCTGAACCCAAACAGATATACTGATCAGTATATGAAAAGGTAGGTTTGGGGCATATGTGTTTTGAAAAAAATACCACTGAGCTTGTGATGGCCTCAGCATTAAAAACCAGCTATTAGACTTTTGATAATTTTTACCAAAAGGACATAAGCTACTCAAAGGGCAAAAACATGTCTATGTGTACACCAGTGCCCTTTAAGTAGCTTATGTCCTTAAAAGAAAATATATAAACCCACAGGGCAATAGCACTTGCTTTTATTATACTTGCTCCCTTTTTTCCGGGGCGGCGGGGGGCGGGGCAGAGGGAGAGGGAGAGAGAGAATCCCAAGCAGGCTCACGCCCAGCACAAGCCTGACAGGGACCTTGATCTTACAACCCTGAGATCATGACTTGAGCTGAAATCAAGAGTCAGATGCTTAACCGCCTAAGCCACTCAGGTGCCCCTATACTTGTTCCCTTTGAAAGTATGGTGCTCAGATATTCCTCAGTCCTTCTTCCCTCTTTATTACCATATGAGGCTAGGCTTAGAGCATACTTTTTGCGATGTGGTTTTAATTTTGAAAATTTAAAGTGACTGTTGTTCTTTTATAAAATACCTCTCACATTCTTTCTTTGGCCCTGCTTCTATGGTACTTATTACTTGGGAATACAGAGTAAATATAGTAATATATCTTATCATATCAAATACAGTCATTTCCTCAAGTGCTGTTGACAAAGGACTATACTAAGGGCAAACTAAATTAGTACTTCTTTCTCTGATTTGTCTGTAATATCTAATAGCTATGTGCTTGAGAATATAAAGCTCTTGCAGTATGTGCTATTATCCTAGGTCACCATAAAATAGAAGGAAATTAAGGACTTAATTCGATCTGACTTTTGTATCATCTAGCATATCTATGGCACAAGGATATTTTCCTTCCTTGGAAAGTCCTCTGAGAGCAGAATCTTAACAGTTTTTTTTTTTATTATGTTATGTTAGTCACCATACGGTACATCATTAGTTTTTGATGTAGCATTCCATGATTCGTCGTTTGCGTATAACACCCAGTGCTCCATGCAATATGTGCCCTCCTTAATACCCATCACCAGACTAACCCATCTCCCCACCCCCCTCCCCTCTGAAACCCTCAGTTTGTTTCCTGGAGTCCATAGTCTCTCAACAATTTTAACTTCTTTCCTTTAGCGTCAAAAGCAATACCTGAGATATAGACGACTTTTCATGGATATTGAGAGAGAACAAGTAAAAGAACAACAAAGACAAAAAGAACATCAGAAGAAAGTTGAAAAGTAAGTTCTTTGATCCTTACTATGAGCCTTTAATTACCAGTTAAGATGATTTTGAAAGCTAAGTTTTAGAAATAATCAGGCAGTGGTTTTACCTTCTGATCCATAGTGGAAACAACGGTTTTTTATCTGGATAGACATATGAAAGGTAGTTAAGAGCTATGTTTTTTTAATAGACTTTTTTTTTTTTTGAACAGTTGTAAGATTACAGCAAAATTAAGCAGAAAGTACAGAGAGTTTATTTACCCCCTTGTGGTATACATGGACTGCCTCATCCACTGTCAGCATCCTGTATCACAGTGGTACAGTTGTTACAACTGATAAACTTCCATTAACACATTGTAATCCATATTTGACTTTGGGATGGACTCTTGGTGTTATACATTCTTCTAGATTTTGACAAATGGATAATGACTTGTATCCACATAATATAATATCATACAGAATAGTTTTACTGCCCTAAAAATGCTTCATGCTCTACCTATTCATCTTTCTCTCCTCCCAGCCCATGGCAACTACTGATCTTTTTATTGTCTCCATTGTTTTGCCATTTCCAGAATGTCATATAGTTGGCATACAATATGTAGCCTTCTCAAATTGTCTATCTTCCACTTAGTAATATGCATTTAAGTTTCCTCTAATAACTTTTCATGGTTTGACAGCTCATTTCTTTTTAGTGCTGAGTAAGATTCTGTTGTCTGGTTGTACCACAGTTTTGTTTATCCATTCACATTCTGAAGGAATCTTGGTTTCTTCAAAGATATGGCAGTTATGAATAAAGCTGCTTTAAATATCCATGTGCAAGATTCATGTGAGTGTATGTTTTCACCTCATTTTGGTAAATACCAAGTAGTATGTTTGTTAGATAATATGGTAAGAGTATGTTTACTTTTGAAAGAAACTGCCAAACTTTATTCCAAAGTGGCTGGGCCATTTTGCATTTCTGTCAGCAGTGAACAAAAGTTCCTGTTGCTCCAGATCTTCTCCATCATTTGGTGTTGTCAGTGTTTTGGATTTTGGCCATTTTAACAGTTGTGTAATAGTAGTATCTCATTGTTGTTTTAATGTGCAGTTCCCTAATGACCTCTGATGTGGAGCATCTTTTCATATGCTTATTAGCCATCTGTACATTTTCTTTGGTGAGGTGTCTCTTTAGGTCTTTGGCTCATTTTTTAATTGGGTTATTTGTTTTCTTATTCTTGAATTTTAAGAGTTCTTGGTAGTTTTGGATAATAATCCTTTATCAGATATTTTTTACAAATATGTTCCCTCATGTGTGGCTTTAATTCTCATTCTTTTGACACTGTCTTTTGGAGAGCAGAAACTTTTAATTTTAATGAAGTCCAGCTTGCAATTACTTTTTTTATGTTTCATGCCTTAGGTATTGTATCTAAAAAATTATTGCCATACTCAGAGTCACCTAGATTTTCTTTCTTTTTTTTAAGATTTTATTTATTTATTTGAGAGAAAGCGCGAGATAGAGAGCATGAGTGGGCGATGGGAGAGGGTGGAGGGGCAGAGGGAGAGGACAAGCAGGTGCCCCACAGAGCAGGGAGCCCGGAGCCAACCCTGGGATCATGACCTGAGATGAAGGCAGGCGCTTAACCGACTGAGCCACCCAGGCGCCCCTCACCTAGATTTTCTTTTGTGTTATCTTATAAGAGTTTTATCATTTTGTGTTTTACATTTAGCTCGATGATCCATTTTGAGTTAATTTTTATAAGGGGTGTAAGGTCTGTGTCTGGATTCATTTTTCTGCACAGTTGTTCCTACCCCATTTGTTGAAAAGACTATCTCTGCTCCATTGTATTGCTTTTGCTGCTTTGTCAAAGATCAGTTAACTATATTTATGCAGGTCTATTTCTGGGCTCTCTGTTCTGTTCCACTGACCTATTTGTCAATTCTTTTGCTAATACCACACTCAGACTAACACCAGACTCACTTTTGCTTTAAGGACACATATAGGCTGAAAGTGAAGGGATAGAAAAAGATACTCCATGCAAATGAGCACCAAAATAGGGGGTGTCCATCCTTATATCAGACAAAATAGATTTTAAGTTGAAAGGGTCACAATAGACAAAGATGGTCATTATATAGTGATAAAGGGGTAAATTCATCAAGATGATGTAACAATTGTAAATATTTATGCACCCAGCACCAGAGTGTCTAAACACAGTGCTTGCTTTGGCAATACATGTACAGAGTACCTAAACATGAAGCAAATACTAACAGAACTGAAAGGAGAAATAAACAGCAGTACAATAGTAGTAGGAGACTTTAGTATCCTCCTCTAAACAATGGTTAGATCATCCAGACAGAAAATTAATAAGGAAACATTGGTTTGAACAACCCTAAAGACAAATGGACCTAACAGACATATACAGAACAAGCTATCTAATGGTAGCAGAACACACATTCTTCCCAAGAACACATAGGACATTCTTCAAGATAGATCATATGCCACAGAGGCCACAACACAAGTCTTAACAAATTCAAGAAGATTGAAATCATATCTGGTATCTCTTCCAAACACATTGATATGAAAATAGAAATCAGTAATGAGGGAAATTGGAAAATTCACAAATACATGAAAATCACGTAGCACACTTGTGAACAACCAATGGATCAAAGAAGAAATCAAAGGAGAAATAAAATGTTTAGACAACAAAAATGGAAACAACATACTGAAACGTATGGTATGCAGCAAAATCAGCTCTAAGAGGAAAGTTTATAGGTACAAGATGCCTTCAAAGAAAAAAGATCTCAAATAAGCAACCTAATCTTACAACTCAAGGAACTAGAAAAAGATGAGCAAACTAAGCCCAAAGTTAGCCAGAAGGAAGGAAATAATAAAGATTAGAGCAAAAATAAATAGAGAATAGGAAAAAAATTGAAAAGATCCATAACACTAAGAGTTGGTTATTTGAAAAGATAAACAGAACTGTAATGCTTAGCTAGATTAACCAAGAGAAAACAAAAAGAGAGAACGCAAATAAATAAAATTATAAACAAAAAAGGAGACATTATAGCTGATACCACAGAAACACAGAGGATCATGAGAGTACTGTGAACAATTATATGCCAACAAATTGGGCAACCTAGAAAAAAAATGGATAAATTCCTTGAAAGATGCAGTCTATCCAGACTGAAATGTGAAAAAATAGAAAATCTAAACAGGCCAATTGCAAGTAAGGAGATTGAATCGGTGATCAAAAACTTCCCAAGAAACAAAAGTCCTGGACCTGGCTTCACTAGTGAATCCTACTAAACATTTAAAGAAGAATTAACATTAGTCCTTCTCAAATTCTTCCAAAAAACTGAATAGGAGGGAACACTTTCCAACTCATTACAAGGTCTACCCTGATACCAAAACCAGACAAGGTCACTACAGGAAAAGAAAATTACAGGCCAGTATCCCTGATGAACATTGATGTAACACGTCTCAACAAAATATCAACAAACTGAATTCAACAGTACATTAAAAGAATCCTATACCAGGATCAAGTGGGATTTATTCCAAGGATACAAGGAAGGTTCAACCACCACAGATCAATCAGTATGATATACACTGCATTAACAAAATGAAAGAAAAATCATGTGATCATCTTAATAGATGCAGAAAAAGCATTTGACAAAATTCAGTATACATTTGTGATAAAAACTCTGAACAAACTGATATAGAGGGAATGTACCTCAACATAATAAATCCCTATATGACAAGCCTACAGCTATCATACTCCACAATGAAAAGCTGAAATCATGGGTTGCCTGGGTGGCTCAGTCGGTTAAGCGTCCAACTCCGGGTTTCATCTCAGTTCATGATCTCGTGGCTCCTGAGATCAAGCCCCTGTAGGGCCCCACGCTCAGTGGGGAGTCTGTTTGAAGATTCTTTCCCTCTGCCCCTCCCCCCACTCACAAGTGCGCTCTCACTCTCAAATAAATAAGTAAATCTTAAAAAAAAAAGGAAAGCTGAGATCTTTTCCTTTAAGATCAGGAACAAGACAAGGATGCCCACTCTCCCCACTTATATTCAACTTATTACTAGAAGTCCTAGCCAGAGTGTTTAGGCAAGAAAAAAAAGTAAAAGGGATCCAAATTGGAAAGGAATAATCAAACTGTAACTATTTGCTGTAGACATGATATTATATATGGAAAACCCTAAAGACTCTGCCAAAAACTTGTTAGAACTAATAAATGAATTCAGTAATTCCTGTATTTTTCAGGATACAAAATCAATTTACAAAAATCAGTTGTGTTTCTATATACTAACAATGAACTTTCAGAAAGATGAATTAAGAAAATAATCCTATTTACAATAACATCAAAAAGAATAAAATACTTAGGAAAAAATTTAACCAAGGAAGTGAAAGATCTATATACTGAAAGCTAAAACATTGATGAAAGAAATTGAAGATGACACAAATAAGTGGAAAGATAGTCCAGGCTCATAATTTGGAAGAATTAATATTGTTAAAATGGTCATACTATCTAAAACAATATATAGAGTTAATGCAGTTCCTAACAAAGTTCTAAAGCAGAAATAGAAAAAACAATAGTAAATTCTAAAATCTGTATGGAACCACAAAAGACCCTGAATAGTGAAAGTAATCTTTTCTTTTTAAAGATTTATTGATTTATTTGAGAGAGAGTGTGAGCATGCACACTCACGTGCACAGACGTGCACATGAGGGGGGAGGGGCAGAGGGAGAGAAAGAATCTCCAGCAGACTCCCCACTGAGCATGGACCTCCCCGCCCCAAGCGGTGCTGGATCCCATGACTCTGAGATCATGACCTGAGTGGAAATCACGAGTTAGATGCTCAAGAAACTGAGCCACCCAGGCACCCCAGTGAAAGAAATCTTGAGAAAGTAGAACAAAACTGGAAGCATCACACTTCCTGATTTCAAGCTATATTACAAAACTATAGTAATCAAAACAGTATGGTAGTGACATAAA